GGGAAAGAGGGCGTGTTGCCTATCACTGCAGGCTCGTTAGAATGGAGTGAGTTTCCGGAATTTGGTGCCTTGGGAGACACCTTGGTGTGCTCGAGTTTCGCAGCGAATGCTTGGATTCTTGTAGTACAGCAAGGTGGCAGCTGCGACAGTAACAGTGATACCGGTTGCGGTGGTGGTAGCAATGACGGCGCTTCCGCCTCCAATCAGCGTGTGGAGAATAACAGTACATTGAGTGAGCATTTTGGCCCTACGACATGGGAACCAACCCAAATTGAAAAGCCTGATTTGGCGTCCTTTGTTTCTCGTGGCACCAGGTCTTTTTGATGATCATGATAAGAGTGTAATTTTTGTGTGTTTATAATGGGGTGATTTAGTTTTTGAGTATGTGTTAACGTTGCATCCATGAGGGCCATAACGAGATTTTGATCCCTAATCTTTAATTAAAAAATAGTAAATCACCTTAGGAGACAGAAGACAACGTAATAATGCTTTCACAAAGTGATTCTTCAAGCCGTCTTACTTCAATGCTAAGTCATTCTAATGACTCAGTCAACCAAAATAACTCGCTCTTTTTCCTTGTAAACCTTTTTGTTTAACAAACTATATTTTTCCAGATAATTAGCATTGGTAGTCCTTGAAATCATATTCTTGACGGATTACTCCTTGAATTTTGATTACTTCATGTTTTGATAGTTCTAGTTCATACATTAAAATTGATGAACTACTCGGTAAAAACTAAAAAGGTTCAAGTTTTTAAAGATTTTTAATACCAGTGAAGCAAATATTTTGTCCTAACTATTTTTCTAAAAAGTTGATCATGCAAGAACAAGCCAATGCCTTACAAACCAAAACAAGGCACAAAAGCAACCAAGACCAAACACCACATCGACAAACTTATTGATAAGCGAGATAAATTAACGAAGATCATACCAAATTCATATCGATCTTGTTGGCTTTTAACAAGAATATATTGTCTTAAAACTAGAGAGACATTCATGAAAAAACACTAAATGGCGCATCACTAGGCTTACAAAATCCACAATGAAGACAAGACGAATTATATTCCAAGGAAACAAAAGAGGAATAAGAAAACTATATCAATAGCCACAACAAAAATAGATAATGACCTTGAACTCTATCATCCAGCCGGACCCTGATTCGAATCTTTTGGAGCTCAAATCCTGCAACAAGAAACATGGCACAAATCGATAAACCTGATTGAATTAATGGGTAAAAAAGCAACTAGCAACAAACATGAATCTTAGTGATAAAACAAAAGGAAAAATGACAAAGAGACTTACATATTTTGTTGAAGGCCACAATGTCACAACTCTGCACATGCTCGTTAATTGGTTCCTGCAAGAGGTGTTCCTCGATAAGATTGTCCACAGAGACGAGGTCGTCCACAATGGTGAGCATTATCTGCAATTTCTTTATACCATACCCAACAGGTGCAAGTTTGGCTGCAGAAAACAAATTAATAGCCGAATGAGAAACACGATAAAAATGTGCTATAGGAATCAAAATAAGCAAAAGAACGATGAACATACAAGCTCCCCAATGCAATTCCTCCATCTGAACACTTCTTACTGCCTCCTCAAGCTTCTTCATATCTGTCTCATCGTCCCACGGCTTCACATCCAAAAGAACCGAAGACTTGCCACCTGATTATCAAATAAACGTAAAGCTTCTATTAAAACCTGAGTGAAAAGTGCAATATATGAAGATGAAAGAACGAATGCATGAATTCAATATAAGAAAGAAAAAAAATAACTCACTCTCTTTCTTTTTTCCAGTTGCTTTGACGGCAGCTGCACGTTCTTCAGCAGCCTTCTTCTCCTCTTCGGTCTCTTCTCCAAACAAATCCACATCGTCGTCATCATCCTCATCAGCAGCAGCAGAGGCCTGAAAGTAATATAATTTGCCATCAAAGGACTATGAGCACAGCCATCTACGCAAGATATTTGTCTACAAAATCTTAGTTGTCGTTATTTATAAGCAAAATAAATTAAAAGGACCAGAAACATGGCAGTGATACTTGCCTTTGAGTCACCCGCCGGTGGGGTAGCAACTGCCCCCTTGCTGATGGAAGCAGATCCCTCCACAATGATGCCACTACCTTCTCCAGCAACACCACTAAAGTACAGCAATATATGACATGTAAGTGAAATATAAGCACAAAACAAAACAAAGAAAATCACGAAACAATAATTGCCATCACCGTATGCCCAAAAGGCAAAGAGCACAAAAACCAAAAAGTTTTACGAGTTATGAACTTACGAAATCCTCAAAAGCGCCTCAATGTGGTTGTACCATCGAGACACATTTACATATTCCGCCGATGGAGCCTTCGAAAGACCAGTGTGCACGGTGATATCATCCTTGGAAGCCTGATACCTGGCCACAAAGAAACAACATAAAAATCAATGCCTTGAAGTATGAATTAGAAAGAAAAAAAAAAGTTCTTTGAAACTAAATTCAAATCGTACCCAGTAATGTAGCTGCGCGAGTCAAGAGATAATCATCGAGTTTCTTGAGGCCAGCAGCTGAGCCGAGGTCGTAGAATGTGACGGCCATTGATAATTATGAAAGTTCTTCGTTCTGAACTGAACAAAATCATATCAACAAAACAATTTAGAAAACTCAAATTTATGTTCTTTTTCAGTTTTATTTTTTTCCTACAAAACAGTATCAGCAAAGCAATTAAAAAACTAAAATTTATGTCTTTTTACACTTTTTCTACGAAATTGTATCAACAGAACAATTAGAATGCTAAAATTAATGTCTTTTTCACTTTTTCAATAACAAGTACTCGTACGAGTATTCAAGTGAGCAAAAGTGCAAAACCAAAAAAAAAAAAAAAAAAAGGCCTTGTTTATCTCGAACAAAACACTAAAAGTTACTAACGAAACTCAAAATTCAAGATGTCTGAGTGAAAATCTAAAACTTCCAAAGAAAAAAGCCCTAGCCCAGATTAGGAATCGAGAATCAAAAGAAAAACTCACACGAACAAGTTGAAAGAAACATATAAGCAATACAATAAGTCAAATAAATAGCAATGTTGTAGAGAATACAGATCCGTCTGAGCTTACCTGCAAAGGCGTGACGGGGACGGCGACGGAGACGGCGACGGCGACGGCGACGGCGACGGCGAACTCGATCCGGGTTGCGGGGTGACGAATATTGAGGAGAGCAGAAAACCCCCCACTTTCTTTTATGTGCTCTGTTCAGTGTGTGTGAAGTGTGAAACGACATGTTTTTTGATCCTATATAATAAATACGACACGTCGTTTATACAGTAAAACGACAATGACGCATTATGGCTTCGTCACTTTTTAAAACTAGAGCAAGTCCGTTATCGGTTATCCTACGTGTGTATAGCGATATATATGAGCCCCTTGAAGTCGATATTAAGTTCATAAACGACAATAATGTATGAGCCCCTTCTTTTCTTTTCGGTTTAGGTTTAAGTTTAGAATTTAAGTTAAAAAATAAATTAATATAATAAAATATATTATAATAAAAATAATAAATTAATTTTTAAAATAATAATAAAATTTAAGAGTAAAATACTTGAATCCCACATCGTTTAAACATAAATATAATCACATACATATAAAAGTATTAGGCGACCCTATTTAATAGTTTGACTTTTTAAAATGGAGGCACAATTCCTTATAAAGTCTAATTCTTCTTCAATTTTCTTCTCATATCTTCTTGAAACTCTAAAATAATATCAGAACACATTATTCAAATTAACTGGTCAATCAATCAAAATATAAGATTAATGACTTTTAATGAAACAACATCTTATAATAAGAGTGTATTAAGAGTAAAATACTCAAATCTCATATTGTGTAAATATAAATATAATCATAAACGTATAAAGGTATCGAGCTACCGTACTTAATATGTTGATCTTTTAAAATTGGAGCACAATCCTTTATATAGTCCGTACTTTTAAAATGACATGACACATTATGAGATTATTTCTTGAATATCATTTCTTTTTCATTTTTGAAAACTAAAAAGTAGGTCCTTTATCGCTTATCTCACCATCCTCACACAAGTCAGATGTTAATTTCGTTAGTTTTGCTAAAGTAGAAATGACATGAATTTTTCAAAAAAAAAGACCTCACAATAATCTTGATAAATGAAGACAACTTTTTTAATAAGGTCTTATTTATTTTATTGATTCGAGTTTAAAATTTAAATTTTATTATAATAAAATTTTTTTAAAAATAATTATATTTAATTTTTTTATTAAAATAAAAAAAAATTTATATAAAATCACATCTTAACTCAAATCAAGATCAAGCCATTTATCAGTTGAAGAGGCTTTATATCTGCAATGGGTGGCACTGATCACGATGATAAGTGTTGAGTTTGCAGGCAAGTTGTCAGGAGACGAAATATTATTTAAAAGTTCGGAAAGGTGGAGTTGTCATTTTGTGTGAATAAAAAAACAATTAATCAAGTAAACAATTTGAAAAAAGTCGAAAGTGAACGACAAAATAAGAATAGAGGAAACAAGTGTGATGCTCTTCCAAATGCACTTGTATAGTTATAAAGGCTGTAGTTTGTAACATAGTTGAAGATATTGAATCGAAATCTGTGTCATAGTTGTGTTAAGTGAAAGTAAATGAAAATTATATCATAATTTTAAAAATCATGATTATATAGATAATCAACTTGAGCACAAATACTCGATCATGGAAGTTAGGATAATATTTAAAAAAAAAAAAAAAAAAAAAAAAAAAAAAAAGACACCTTTAAACGGTGATGAGTGAGTTTTACACTCACAAATCTAGACCTTTGATCTTAGCATTTTGGTTGGTTTTCGGGATTTTAGTTTTAGATTTACGCTTGTTTTGTATTTATTTTGTACGTTAGCAATAAGTTGGCTTTTGGGATTAATCTTGCGTGAATGGAAGAAAAACGAAGCTTAAAAAGATCAAAATCAAGAAGAAGAAGAGAGCGCTGCGGCTTCAAAGAATCAAGGCCATGGCGCTAGAAGGGCTTTTGGCATGAAATTTGCAATGTTGGGATACTGATCGTAGTGCCGCGGCACCAACCATCAGTGTCGCCGCACCCATGAGCCGATTTAAGTAGTGCTTGGGCATTGGCTGTGGCACCATGGCACTAGTGTGCTGATTTGAAGAGCGCTGCAGGGCTAACAATTCAGGGTCGCGGCGCTAACTGTAACAAGGAGGTTTTCAACATAGATTTTTATGCTGAAAAATTCCAATTTTACCCCTACAACCTAGGACATATAAATATGACTTTTAGAACTTAATAAGGGATTCTTTTCTGAGAGAAAAGCAAGGAGAATTGACGGCACAATGAAGGAGAAGACGGCTAACTTGGAAACAGACTCTGACTTTGAATCTTCAATCTAGTTTTCTTTTCTCTTCCTTTTCTCATGATTAGAATTATTGTTAGGACGTTTTCTATGTCCATTATGTTCTAATTTCATTTTCTAGGGCTACGATTTACTTGGATCAGGATTGTTCTATTATTTCCAATTCTTAATTCAATTGATGTTTATTTCATATTGCTGAGTATTATAATATGTTCTTAATGCTTGTGAATGTCCGGCCAACCTTTTGCATGATTTGGAGTTTAATTCTGAGACTGAGAAGTGACGGTTAAACATGACTATTGATTATAATGTCATTAGAACATCAAAAGCTAGAGATAGTTATGTGACTAGTGTGGTGGTTATGATTTCCTAATCTTAATGTGTTCAACATGTTAAAATCTTGAAGAGATGTGCGGTTTGCATGTTTGGGTAAGATTAGTAGTGCTTGAGAAAGATTAGTAATTAATTTAGAGAAATCCACTGTTAGAATGGGAATAAGCATTGATTCATTGGGAATTGGGGATTGAAACTTGATTGATCTTGGTGAAATCTGAAACCCTAGAGCCATTTATTCATTGAATTTTCCCTAATCAGTTTTCTTTTCTTTTATTTTTGCTATTAATTTTCATCAAATATATAATTCTCCTATTTCGACCTCTTTAAATAAAGTTAGAGTTAACATAATTTCAGTAGCTAATATCGATCACTCATCGTGAGACGATACTCATATTCACGAAATTATTACTTGACAGCGATACATGCACTTGCATTTGCAGCCAAAATTTCTGTTTCTGAAACTTTGTCAAAATTTTGCACAAAATACACTGTACATTAACCGATATTGATATTTATACTGATATTTATCGATACTTCATTGATATCTTGATGAAACCCATTTTGTAGTGAATATTTTTGACACCTCATAAAATCTAAACTATCTGAAATTTTGATGAAACTTGTGTCCATGATTAATGTAAAGATCATCGTTAATGAAGGAATATGGCTCTATAATTGTGTTCCATTAGTAAACGTCATATAATAACAATTGTCCCAGTTTGTAACACGGGTGAAAATGTTGAATCCAAAAAAAGATTGTACTGCTTTTCCTAGTAATTTTAGATGGGTTTTGATTTCTTTAGTGCTCTTTACTCATCACCTTATACACTTAGGCTTCTTTCTTTTGTTCACACCCAATGGGTTTAGTTCGCTTTTAAAATTTGTGGACTGCTCCTAACAAAACTTAAGCCTCGTTCATTTTATCGATTCGAATTTTTAATTTTAATTTTGTTACAGTTAAAAGCTCTCATGAAAAGTCACATTTAACTTTTTCTGGTATGTACAATTTAAAACTCTCACATAAAATCACATCTCAACTCAAATTAAAAACTCAAATCAACGAACTGAACTAGGCCCTAGCCTTCTATTTTCAATTATATCAAATACACTTCGTCGGCTGACCGATCAAGCAAATTGCAGATTTTTTTTTTTAATAAGAGATTTTGGATCTTGTAAAGATGTCAAGATCGATATAACAAAAACTCAGTTATGATAAACAAAATAGTCAAATCATTCGGAGACTCTTTGTGAAGTCTTTCCAATTTACTTGACGTACCTCTGCATAGAAGATAAAATCAAGCTCTATCATAAATGAATCTTCGACTCTTTCAAAAGACTCTTTGTGAAGTCTTTCAAAATCTTTCAAATATATGACACTCATAAGCTATCCATCTGACCAAAAGAAAAGGGAAAAAAAAGAGCCAATTAAAAAAAGCAGTTTACTTGATCAACCTAATTTTATATATATTAATTTTTCTAATGATTACTAATGCAAACTTTACTTGTAATTAACCAACATGAATAAACTACTAGTGGGAAAACTTTATATTACACAATGCAATAATGTCCACCAGCTTAGTAAAATCCATAAATACATAAGCTAGTTAATAGTATGATCACTAAATGTTGCATTAATTAGTTCGAGTAGTGGCAGATGATAAGAAAAATATCTCATAGTTGTGCCCATTATGAATTAGTGAACAAAATTAGCTGGAATTAGTTGTGAAATTACAAAGCTAAGGTGAATTTTTTTTTTTTTTTTTTTTAAGTTTTTGGATATTGATTTAAGGCAATCAACATCCACATCTACATCTACATCTACGTCACTATTCAGTAATAATTAATAATATTAAACGACAAAGTATTGTTCAGAACATTTATTCCTTTCTTTGTTCTCTTTTTCATTTCCACGACTTTCCATTCATTCCAAGCAATTGAATCATTCCAAATCGTCAAAATAATAATAATAATAATGATGGGGTTGAAGTTTGTTCGACAGAAACGGCACGATTCCGATTTCTGATGAGATTGTATATTTTCTATCTCACCAAACACTCCTTACCCGCCAAAGGTATCTTTCTTGTTCTTCTTCTTCTTGCTCTTATTCTAACGTCATTTCCTTCTTCTGAAAACTAGTACACAACTGAATTTGTCGGTTGCAAATTATAATGACTTCCTCTCTCTATGAATTATTTCTATATATATCTACATATACACGTATGTGTATATGTATATATGTACGCTAAATATATATATATATATATATGTATGTATGTATGTCTGTGTATGCGTGTGCTTGTGCGGTTGAAGAAAAGCGTGCTTCATGTTTTCTCTCGGTGAATTCTCCATCTCTTTCTCCTTAATTTTCTGAATACAAGGGCTTTCTTTCTTCTTCTGTTTTTTTTAGACTTTTCAGAGTCATAAGTTGTTGTTGTTGTGTGTGTGTGTGTATATATGTGTATATATATATAAATGAATATATATATATATATGTATGTATATGTATAAATATAATTTTAGTAATGAACATGATTCATTCTGTTTCTAACGATTTGTGATTAATTTAACGATGCTTATTTACAAAGGTTTAGATGGAATCTTCGTCTAATTATAGAAATAAAAAATAAAAAATAAAAAAAGCAGAAAAATGACGACTTCTGTAGCCATTTTTCTTGCTTTTTTTTTTTTTTTTCCTCTTTTCTTTTTGCATGAGGTTAGTATTCAAGAACAAATTAATTAAGCTTAGTTTTGTAATGTATAATGATGAATATTCTATTATTTTCTCTATGTTTCGAGTAAAACAACTTAATTATACATTATTGTAACTAAAAGCCTCTTTCATGGCATTGATTTATTTTATCGTGGGATCTTGACTTTTCGCTATTGATCCTTAATTAATATATAGTTATGCTTCACATTAATATGGAATAAATATAATAGTGATACTATGGGCAAAATTAATTGCCAAGTCCTCGTACATTTTCTTATCCTCATATTTTTTCTCATATATATATATATATATATATATATTGAACAGCTTTATTTTGTATTATATATATAAACGAATTCTTAATGACGCATCAATTTAGTTGATGATAGTCTTTTAAGCCAGTCTTAGTATGTTCTGCTGTACGTTTAAATTTAATATAATTGGCTTCTTTTCTTTTTTTTCTCGGAGGATATATAGTACATATATACTTGAAAATGAGAAAAATACGTACATAACCATCTTTTTTTGTTATTTTTATATGTATGTCATTTAAGCTATAAATTTGTTCCACTTAAACTTATTTTTACTGATTTAATAAAAGACAAATTATTACTATGTCGTTTCTATAGTATAAATGTTAATTAGTACTATTTTGAGTGGTATTTTTAGTTTTCTTCTCTTGAAAATTTATTAAGAAAGTTATTATAGGATTCTTTTTTCTTAACAAGTTAGTACTTTTTTGAAGTTGAAGATCAACAATAAAGGAAGCAAAGAAACATCTGATAAGAATCCAAAAGGCTACTCATAGTACTACTTGGAATTTATAAAGGAGAAGTTGGCCTTTGTTCATCACTAACCTGGTAAAATACAGAATGTGTCAAACCTTCCTTTTCATATTTAGTCTTTACAAAGACCAACTACTAATTCATGTTTTGATTGTATCTATATGTCTCTTTTAAGTTTTTTCTGAATTTTTTTGCATGTGTTTCTTTTTTATTATTATTATTTACTCCAATATATATGCTAGTCATATATGTACACACCTATGTACGTGCACATATTTTATGTGTATATATGCATTTGACCAACCAATCTAAAGTTTTATTAATGTTAAAGTCCTAACTAAACGAAACTCATGTGGAATTAATATCTATATTTAATGCCCATGAGGATATAGATTAATTAGATAATAAATGTAAAAGGGAAAGACAGATAAACGAATCCATCAATTGATGACATAAGAATCATTAGTTGACCAACCACTTTCTCCATATATTCATATTTTCCTAATTTACTGAAAGCCCATCTCACCTCCTTCCTCCATGCATGCGCGCGTGTGTGTATATATATATATATATATATAAACATATAAATACATATATACAACATGCTTTACATTTAAATTATACTTTTGAATTGGACGACAATGGTTCACCAAGACCAAAGTTTTGCTATATATATTATTCTTGGTCCAACCATATCACTAATTCTGATTTCAATTAGTTAATAGAAGGAATGAAATGCCTCAAAAAGAAGAAATGAAATATTAAATTGATTAGGTCTTGGAAATATTTATTAGTTAGAGTCTCTATACCATAAATTAGATTCATGTTTTGGTGATTTCTACATTGAAAGAAAATTACATTTCAAATATATTATAATGTTTATTTGTTAGATACTATTATTATATGGAAAAGAAATGTTGCTTTTTGCTGTAAAATTGAGCAATGATTGATAAGGAATAAATTGGTTACTAAATCCAGTTAGGTTTAAGAAGATTTTTGGTTTTGGTATTCACCATCAAAATAGGTAGTGATATTCAGATTAAAAAAAAAGGTAGTGATATTGTAAGCAAAGGCCTTTCTATACACATTTATTAACATTATGGACAAAAAACAAAAAGGAAAATAACCAGTTTTGGGAAACCTTAACCCCAAAAAAAAAAAACAAAAAAAAAAAAGGAAAAAAAAAGTTGGTCAAAAGTTGGCTTGTTCAATATGCACATGCCTTGTTATTAAGCGCGGAAAATCGGATAGATATTAAGATAAGCTCGCCAAGTGAGTAAGTTTTTATTTCCATATTTATCGAGCTAATCAAGATAATTAGTTAACAAGTCTTGTCATATGACTCTCCACATTTTTCTACTTAATATAACCCGCCATTCTGTTAATTCTCTTCTTTCAAAGGCTACTCTATATAATAATTAATTAATTATCAAAACGAAAAGGTAAAACACCACAGTATAGAAGCAATAACTGGGTAAAATCTCGAGTACCCGTGATTCCTTTTTGTTTTCGCGAGAAAGTTCTTGCAAGCATTCACCAAATTTGTCTACTTTTTTATTTTATGCTTTTTATATTATGACACAATTAGTTTATAGGTAAACCTATTAGAAACCTGCATGCCTGCATTATTTTATTCTCTTGTCACTTTGTGTTTACAACTACAATATTGAATAGTATATATATCCACATATATATATACATATATATACCTATATATATATATATATACGTATGTATTTACATGTGTAAGTATTGTTTTAGTCGCCTTTTGTGGGCAGGCCGGCAGAGAGACAAAAATCTCCCTCGAGGGCTTCCAAGCTAGCTACTTCTAATCATATGTAGTAGTACTTTTGGTTTTCAATTAAAACTTTTGTTTGTGTTTTTTTGAAATTTTGAATAAAAGAGGTAGAGATTAGTTTCTTGTTTTTGATGTTCTTGTGTCTTGGGTTTGGCAGCAGAAGAAGAAATAATAGTGTACTAAGAAGTAAGAATTACTAAGCCTAGAAAAATTTTGGGTTACAAATTATGGAGGGCAAATTAGGAGGTGAAGTGAGAAGGCTTCATATCATCTACTTCCTCAGCCATATGAGTCGTGTCGAGCATCCTCATCTCATCCGCGTCCACCATTTCACTCGCACCGGCGTTTATCTTCGAGGTAAAAAATAAAAATAAAAATAATTTTCAATTTCATTTCTAATTTCTTGTTCATTTTGTCTGAGAGAGAATTCTGTATAAAATATGAAAAAAATATCTTACTGATAGTGTATATTTCTTTTAGTAGTTTTTATACTATTTGATTATGACCCGATTTAAAGTTTAGATATGAACATATAGAAAAATTCTCCCATTTTATTAATTTGTGTTTCTTCTGTGTACAAGATGTTAAGAGATGGCTAGGGGACTTAAGAGGGAAGGACATGCCAGAAGCATATGCTTGGTCCTACAAGAGGTAAATTTCTTTTTTCTTTCCTTTTTTTTATTTTTGAAATTTTTACAAGAGGTAAGTAATATATAAGTGAAGACATTAATAATATATTAATATATTTTGGACTTTAAAGTTGAAAATTACCGGTGCATGGCTATTGAATAAATGCAGGAGGTACAAGACAGGTTATGTGTGGCAAGACTTAGTAGATGACGATCTCATCACCCCACTTTCTGACAATGAATACGTCCTCAAAGGATCACAAATTATCTCTACCCACAATGGTAATATATAAAAAAAAAATTAATAATATATCAATTAATATTGCTCTTAATTGTTCACTTAATTTTGATCTGGAAAATGAATCATATTTAAAAAGTTGTGTAATGCTTCAAATTAAAAATGAAATTAATAGCTGCTGACACATCATGAACGGTACACAAAATTTAGTCAACAATTTGGCGTATATATATTTCCAATATTTTTATTTGGTCTAATATATATATTTTTTTTTTCACAGATGAAAGGAGAGATTCTTGCTCATATTCTTGTGCTGAGAATAAGAAAGCTGCAAAAAATTCGATATATAAAGAGCATTCCAACAAGTTAAAGACTGATCAAACTGAAGACAAAGTCCAGCCAGCAGAAACCATCACTTTTTCCTTCAAAGAATCCAACAAAAAGATTTGCCCGGATTCTCAAATTGATCCGCCGTCCAAGATTTTCTCTGAAATCAATGAAGAATCCTCCAGTTTCGGCTCTGAGAGATCATCTTTGACCGATGATTTTGATTCAGTCAAGTTTGAGCCCCGCAAGCACAACAACAACAACAATTCTCCACCATTGACTGATCACAAGAAATCCAAGAACAACAACAAGAAGAAGAAAAAGAAGACGCCCTCGGTCGCCGACGAGGGAATGGGGTCCTCGCGGTTGTCGTCGTCGACAAAGTTCCCGGTGCCCGCGAAGAGGAAGAGCTTCTCATCAGGAGGAGCCTCAAACATGCTTAGGAACCTCATCACTTGTGGTGCTGTGGACACCAATGACAATGTCTTGGTCATGTTGAATAGAAGAAGTGGTGGCCAAAATAATAATAATGATAATAATAATATTAACAAGGCTCCTGATGAAGTTCTAATTAAGGGTGATGATCATGTTCATTTTGGAAGGTCTTCATCATCAAGGGTTTTCAGGGCTTGTTGGGATCACCAGGAGGAAAAACAGCAGCCACATAGGCACAGCACTTCTAGGTAATTTTGAATTATTAGTTTCGTTCAAGTAGTACTCCATTTTAATCAGTATACACAATAGTTAATCAGTTAATATGACAGATTTTGAATATATTATAATAAGAGCTAGATGATGAATAGAGTTCTGTGTTTAAAGCAAAATTGAGTTATTGGTAAATTTGGGAGAATATATTGCTATAAGTATTACTTTTTTTTTATTTTTATGATCCCATTATGGTTATGTGATAGTGTGTGCCTCATTTATAGTAAGTTTCTTTGAGAAAGATTAGGGGTGGAATGAAGATTGTTTTGAGAGAGGGGATGGGAAGGGAAAGCCGTCGTTGCCGTTCTGCCCTGTTATCATCCTTATAATCTGTATAGAACGAAAAGAGTGAATTTAATGAAATGTTATAAATACCCACCTATTTAAAACCTACTTCATGATTTTATACCCTAAGAAAAAATTTTATTTCCAATAAAAGAAAAGAAAAATTTGCTATTGCTATTTTAGAGGATGTGACAAGACTTGCATAAGAAGTGATACTCAAGAACGACTACTACTAGTGCTTAATATAACTCGTACATTTGGCTGCACAACAATAATGTAGTATAACAAAAACGGTGTATATATAAAAATGTTTGGTTTGCATATTAATTGTAAAAAAAATAAAAAAAATATAAAAAAAAAACTTTGTTGGTGTAGAAGAAGTTTTGATGAGAGAAAGGGACCGAAGAAGCAGCAGACTGAGTTCCCAAAACAAAAGGCAATTCCTGCAATTTACAGGCCAGTTGGGGAGCCCAATTGCTCGTAAGCATCAATTTCACTGTCTCAATTTTTATTTTTATTTTTACTTTTCTTTGTGTTTTTTTTTTATGAAAATAATTTTTTTTTTTGGGGGATTGCTAATATATGATAAATTTTAATGTTAATAATGTGACTTGGACACTTACCTAGAGAAATAAGCCACAATTAGGTCCCACGGGAACACATAATTTCTGAATATAACATCCTTAACTAAAGTAATTTATGAATGACAATGATCTGCTCATATATAACATTAAAGTCAGTTTCACTTAAAAAGTAAACCCCAATTAGCTAGAAAAAAATAAATAAATAAAAGTAAGCTCCAATTTAAAAATAAGCTTAACTGCCGACTATGAGGCTTCTGACTTTTCCATCAAACCAAAGTCATAAAACAAATTGCAAGTGAACAAAGTAGACCTAAGATGGGTTGACCCTGAAATTACATACATCTTCCATTTTTATATGTTTGTGGATGCATATATATATATATATATATATATTCATTGGCTGATCATGGGCTGCTGGCTGAGTATGAAAGATGTTAGAATTGTTTATAAGCTTTCTGATTTTTTGCTTTCCATTACTATAAGCTATTAATTCTAATCCCTTGAAGAAGCCACATAAATTATCTGAGACGACCGAGTCAGGTCAAATTACCTAATTTGGTCCTTAATTATTGCTTATAATGAAGAATTAAACAAATTTCTGATTTGGAGATTCATTAGAGTAGCGGATTACGTGCTAGTTGTTATTTTTTTTTAGCATATGTTAAAATTAACGAGGCAATTTTTTAAATATCTACATATTAATTCTAATCCCTTGAAGAAGCCACATAAATTATCTGAGACGACCGAATCAAGTCAAATTACCTAATTTAGTCCTTAATTATTGCTTATAATGAAGAATTAAACAAATTTCTCATTTGGAGATTCATTAGAGTAGCGGATTATGTACTAGTTTTTTTTTTTTTTTATTAGCATATGTTAAAATTAACGAGGCAATTTTTTAAATATCTACAAAATAAAAAATAACAACTCATATGTCACGTCAATTGTTGCTGAGTTTTCTGTTGAAAAAAAAAAATGCAGGCAATGTGGGAAAGCGTTCAAGCCAGAGAAAATGCACTCTCACATGAAGTCTTGCAGAGGAATGAAAGCTTTGGCTGGGAAGAGCACTTGGAGTTATGCTCCAAGTACTTCTATGGAGAAGAGTACAGTTTGCCATTCCATGAATACTTCCAACAAAGAATTAGCTCTTGGCTATTTTTTAACCAACTGAAAATACATATTTTATATTAATAACATTAAAAAAAAAAAAAAAAAACCTTTATTATTCAAAGTCCCATATACATGATATGATGTTTTCCATCACTCAATGTGTGTATTAAGGGCCTCTTTAATTATCTCATCATGTTAACAGAGAAAAAAAAAGGGAAAAAAAAACTGTTATTTTCTCTTTAAGAAAATATACATGTTTTTCTTTTTGAGTACTTGCATATGTATATTTCTAAATGTTAAATTTGATCAAAATTATATTAATTAGAGTAAGGCATGATTAGATATGACAGTTCATAAAAAGGAGTCCTGCCAGCCTGATAAGATCTGTAACAGGGGGACACTAAAATTAACTTCAACTGATATGGCCAATACCAACTTCAATAATGTGATTAAGATATTGCTACATCGATTACTTTTAGATCAGGGAATTGACATCGTATGCATAATGCATAAGCAAAAACCATCAAGGAATGTATAGACTTTGGCCCGGAGTCCAGCTTATTATATGCTAGGGATATAAATTTTAACCGTCAACTCATTTACCTACGGAGACCCGCCTCAAATGGGATAGGTCGGCCCAATCTAAACAAGTTCGATTTGTAAACAGGTTCAAATTTTAACCAGTCAATGACTACGAGGTGGGACAGACTTAGGGCCTGTTTAATTCGATGATTCGAGTTTTTAATTTGAGTTTATATGTGACTTTATGTGAGAATTTTTTACTGTAGTAAAAAAGTTAAATTTAACTGTTTCTGAGAGTTTTTTACTGTAACAAAACTCGAATTCTAAACTCGAATTAATAAAATGAACAGAATCTTAATGGTCCCTCTATTACCTGATTACCCGCTTCATCTAATTATCTTTGTTCTATTAATGGTAACAATACATGTCCAATCAAAATGTTTCATCCATGGACAAGTAAAACCTCTAGCACCAAGCTATACAATTGAATGGCAAAAGGAAAGTAAGGAACCAAAGTTAAAAGAGTCATCTCTACTTGTCAAGTTGTCAGCTTTCACAAACTCTTGCAAGTTTAGTTTAGATAGTGTTGTCAAAAAAGAAGACTTGGAAATGAAGCATCGTTTTTTTAATAACATTTTGGTTGTGCTGTTAGATTCTAAAATCTTTGGTTCTATATGTGAGTACCTAACTGAGTTTGAAAATGTCAGCACTAGAGAGTTATATCCTACTCTTCCATTCCTGTTAGTGTTCTGCTATGGATTTACTTACTGACAACAACAGCAGAATCAACGTGCTCGAGTAAGAACCCGCATAACTTCTTTTTCAAACCCCCGATTCTCTTGCCTTCCCGAGCTCCATTCGATGCCAACTCATCCAACCAATGATTAACCCTTTTGAGCTGCCCCAGCAGAGATGCAGCTTCAGGGCTTCTTTCCTCTCTTCTCAGCCCGAATCCCATATTTACTGAGCCCTCTAAGTACTTCAAGAACCATTCGCGAGAAGCCAAGAAAAGTTTTTCTGCTAAACTTGCTGCCTCCTTTAATCTGCCTCCCTTGCTAGAATCTTCCTTTTCGGTACTTGATCTCCCTGCAGCTGAAGAAAGTCGACCTGAAGCAGGCGGAGACAACTTAGTACTCGAATCTGATAAGAGGGTTCCATTATTTCTCTTATTTTGTTTGCGTGCAGGCGAATGATTCTCATAGTCTTCTGCAGGAGAGTTCTCTAGGACGACAAAATGACATTTCTCGCCATTTGGAATTTCATCCCTGTCCTGCTTTCTGGACAGTTCGAATGGGGACAGATTCGTTGATATGGCAGCCTTAACCCACAAAGCGGCATTCTTACTAGCGGAATCTTTACATGCATCTGGGGACAAATGCTGTTGGGGTAAACAGTTGGTTGAATCTGCACCGAGAAGCCTCGAGTTCAGCAAGGAATCAACAATCATTGCTGCACTTTGCATTTTCTGATTGAGGTCCAAAAATTTCTGCACCACCGCTCCTGCAGAAGATTTCTGAGAGGACTCGCAGAGTTCTGCAAAAATGCTGCAACAAAAAAAAAATAACTATAATAATAAAAAAGTGATCATTGTTATAATCCACAAAGTATGCATACAATAAATATATGGAAAGTAAAGCAGGTAAGAAATCTAACAAAATCAACCCAAATTACCTCTATAAAAGCCATATAATTCCTCTGAAAAAGAAAAAAGAAAAAAGATCTGTGAAGAGAATAAAAAGTACTCATTAACAAATAAATTTTATATTCTTTTCCTTTTAGCATAGTGTCATACGCTCTTGCATTCCTTAGAATCGTGTTACTTAGTCATAAGACGCCTAAATAGTTTAGACAAGTTCTGACATTAGCATTAATTCCAACTGGTGTTGCTACTTCTATAGAGAGGGTATTTTCAACTATGAAACGTGTGAAGAATAGCTTGTGCAATCGAGTGGGAGATCAATTGGTGAATGATACTTTCTTATACATCGAGAGGAGTGTTGCAGACAGATGGCTCCCCTTTACTTAGGTCACACATTAAGGAGGAAACACCGAGTCAAACACTCAATTCGTTTTGACATCCTCATAGACAAAGGATGTACCTTTTGTGAAAAAGCCAATAAACCAAAAGGAAATGTCTTGGTTGACAAGGCCAGATTTCTCTTCAATGGAGTAACCGTTTGGTAAATATGTTCAGATGGTTTGAACCAAAAGGTTCAAATGAATCAGCATTTGGCAAATATGTTTGAGGCTTGGTTCAAACCAATAATTTGATGTCTTGAACCAAAAGAACCTCCCAATTCAAAGTTCAAACCACATAAGTTCAAACCTAATTACCAGACGGGTACATCTCACTCACGCTCTAAATAACACGTCCATACCATACACCAACAGATTTTCATGATTATTATATTACCCCCTTCCACAGAAACACGGCAATAATGATTCTTAACATGCTTTTTTGCATTTAACAGAGCAACCGAGATATGGACAGGTAAAGAAACATTAACATCGGCGACTTGAGATTAGAGTACTGCACCGAATCAAGCAGCAACAGATATAAACAAGGGAAAGAATAATATCCAATCATACCACATACAACGGATGACACCATCTGCTGCCGATGCTTCTTCAAGCGAACGTACAGCAGCTAAAAAGGCGATGTTTCGATGATGTACAGCTTGCTGCAATGACCAAGAACAATAGGACAGAAGAGAATAAGAAAGTGACATCAAATAGACCACAAGTCTGTCTTCATCATTAAACTTTACTGGATTTCGTATGGCATACCTTTCCAAGCTCAGTTATGGTCGGTGGGAGGACATCCCACGAGATCTTCTGTCCAGATCCGGTTTTGCAAGTAAGTGGCACCTTTAAAAGACGGCTTGGAGCAGTGCACGCGGATGACGACTTCAATTCCTTTTTCAGAGGTTTCTTTGTCAACAATGGAGAGACAGCATCATTTTTGTTTTTAAGAGGTGAGAAGTTCAAATTTGGATGCTTTAAGGACGGAATGTTCTTAGGAGACGCCTCCTTGTCGGAAATGACCTGAAGCAATAGCAATGTAGGAGCCTCATGAGAATGCAGACTCATTGCTAGCCTCATGAGAATGCAGACTTATTGCTAGCCTCATGAGAATGCAGACTTGATGCCTAAAAGATGTATCAACTTGCAACATTGACATCATATATCAAAGTTAACAGCTCCTAAATCTAGAAATCATTCATTATTGAAAACCATAATCGACGCTGATGTGCAGGACCGCAGAACACTCAACCGACCGGCATTAATCCATAGTAGCGCGGAGATAGCTACTTATTTATGTTCTTTATTACTCTTTCAGATTCCACAATGTAATGCATAGAGCATACCAAAAAGCATCTGCAAGTTACCTATACGACTCAATGAAAATTTCAACATTTTCAATCATTTCTAATTTTGCTTAGGGATTACCCAACAAAAGGATGAAAAAAGAACAATAATATTGATTGCCTTAGAAGACTGCTAGTTTTCAGCCCCCCAAAAGACAAAAATAAAATAATAATAATAATAATAATAATAATAAAATAAATTTGGTGGGACTAAAGCATTCTCCTCTGACAATAGTGTTGGATTCAACTTCAAGTCAGGTCCCCCCGCCCATGCAGGGTATATGAGAAACTTATTTCTACTGAGAAATATTGTAATCTTTGTCTTAAAAAAAAAAAAAAAAAAAAAAATTTTTTACTGAAAAAATTTTAATTTTTTTTTTAAAAAAAAAAAAAAAAAAAAAAAAACAGAAAAGGAATGAAAAGAAAAAATCTCTACACTACAAAGAATCCATATTAGAAATTTTTAGAATTATCATCCTCTGCCTCCGTAACCAAGCTATAGAAACAAAATTTTACTCACTCACCAGCAATGCACTGTTATATATATATATATATATATATCAAATTTGCAACTTTTTTTTCTTCTTTTTTCCAACTTCAACAAATTTTGTTTTCAGAATCCTGCGTTAGTTCGAATTACAACTCAATTTTTCAGTAGATTCAAACAACTAAACGAAGGAGGCCAAAGTATTATAATTACTTAATATTTCAAGTGTAAATTTTCAAAAAAAAAAAAAAAAAAAAAAAAAAACAAAAAACCCATTATAAAAAGAAAAATTTTAAAAAAAAAAAAAAAAAAAAAAAAAAAAGGAAAACTCCAACATACAGAAACAGGAACTTGTTTGGACTTGAAACCGGAACTATTACTCTTCCGAGCAATGGCGTTTGGATTCTTCTGATCCCAACAAGCCCGTCTTGCCGAGTCCAAACTCAGTCTTCTCATGTCGAACCCAACGCACTTTTCACTTCTGCTCATCTCGAGCAATGGCGTTTTCTTGTTTATGATCATCTCTTCACGACTCGGTAATCTTTTGGCGAAGAGAAGATCGCTGGAGACCAACTCAACGGGATTCCCAACGCAAGCGCAGGACTTTCTCTTCGGGACGATCCTCAGCCCCCGGAGAACCGGCACCGGCGACCCCGAGTCCAGCCTCGCCGCGTACACGAACTGCCCGATCTGGACCTCGCCGGCGGAGACCATGTCGGAGTCAGAGTCGGAGACGGCGACGTAGGCCGAGTGGAGGGAGTCGGAGACCTTGAGAAAGAAGCCTCGGCTCCGCCACGGGTCCTCGCCGGAGGGGAGTATCTCGATTACCTGGAGCAGCGCGGAGCGGTGGTTGCCGGTGACCTTCGCGTCCTTGTTCGCCAGGAGCTTGGAGAGAACTCCTGGTGTTAGAGACGCCATTGATGAAGATGATGTGTGTAAAGATTTTTCAGGGCATTGTTAAAGGGGTTGTTGGTTGGCGAATCTCGATGAAGAGGAGGGGGGCATTGCATTGGGGAGTGGAGGAGGAGAGGGAGTTTTAGAGAGAGAAAGAGAGAGGAGAGAGAGAGGGAACAGACAGTTGGCAAATGGTGGTCACGTTACTGGTGATGGAGAACTCTGCAGTTGAGACTCGAGAGGGGCAGACAAGAGAGAAGAGCACAGGTTTCTACGCTTAGCCCACTAAGCTAATCACGACAAGCAAGCTCCTTTTTTCATGAATGAAGTTTGCAAAAGAGACAGAATATTATATATATATATATATAATATATATTTATGTGTACATCACGCGCTCTGTAGTAGGAGTTTTTAGTAGTTTTGGAGTTTGGGGCAAATTTGAAAAGAAAATAATAACAAAAGGGTCAGATATCTTTTTTTTCCGCTAATTAAGAGAAAGAGAAATTATTTGATACGTCTGATGTATCGGTAAATTAAATTTCTCTAACCATTACATATACATATTTTTTAATTTTTATGTGATCTTATATATATCTAAAAACAGAAAACCTAATCTATTGATATATTAGCATACCGGAGAAAGTCTCTAAATAAAAGGTTAGATCTTAAGGGTCCTTTTGGTTCACATGCTCAAGTCACTAATTTTGATTCATTAACGAAAACTTTGTGAGATAAGAAATTTTTAAATTCAAATTCTTTATGAGATAAAAAATACTAAAGAAGAATCAAAATCTTGGGCTCAAGAATTGGATTCAAATGAGTTTATACTATGTTAAGGTTGTTGAGTGGATTTTGACCATTAGTTTTGATCGGTTCAATGATTGAACCACCTTCGATTTCTAGAAGGCGGGATTAAGCACCAAGCCTAAAGGAAAAATCACAATTATTTTTATCAACTTAGTTTGGTTTTTGGCAATCTATTGTTGGTAGTTCTATGGAAGGATTAATGATTGACTAGTGACGATGGGAGAGACGATAGCTAATGGAGCAATAAAAGGCAAATGACGGCGTCATACTCCAAGAAAGAGGAGGGGGAGGGTGCAGCACTCTAAGAGGTAGAATGGCAAAAGAAGAGGGAGCGCCGAAGAGAAGGATTGAGAATAAAAGAAAGAAGAAGAGGGATTTATACATTCAGTCAATTTTAAATCCCGTTCATTTCACCGATTTAAGTTTAAAATTTGAATTTTACTACAGTAAAAAGCTCTCAGAACAGTCACATCTAACTTTTTTACTACAGTAAAAAGTTCTCATATAAAATCACATCTCAACTCGAATTAAAAACTCGAATCAGCGAACTAAACGGATCCTTAATTTTGATCAAATCTCATATCCAAACTGAGCATCGGGCAACTCAATGCTTGGAGGGTTTGATTCGCCTACTGACATACATCAATTTTAACATGACATTGAGTTCACAAAATAAAAATTTTGAAGAGATTAGTATTTTTAAAGAGCGTAGAGACAACATAAATCTAAATAGATAGCTAGATAAAGAGATTTTCTAATTTGCTCAACTATAACTTATTTTTCAGGTTACAATGGTATATAATATGGAAGAACCCATCCAATTAACAAGGTAATACATACATTGTTTAGTATATTTAAGAGTTTCTCTTATAGGATCTCCTTACTCGTAGAGTTAGTTTCTAACTATTTAATCTGATCAAAATCATATCAGAGATCTCGTTTATTTCACTAATTCGAGTTTTTAATTCCAGTTTTGCTACAGTTAAAAACTCTCACAAAAAGTCACATCTAACTTTTATGCTACAGTGAAAAACTCTCACATAAAATCACATATCAACTCGAATCCGTGAATTGAATCATGCCTAAAAAAGTATGTATAACAGATAACTTGTGATATTAATTTAACAACTGAAAAAATAGGCTTTTTGTAGCTATTTTTTAAGGATGAAACTCCCATATTATTTTTCTCCTTTCCATACAAAATTTTGGTATTAGTCGACGCTCCATCTATCAAATTTAACTTCGAGGAATATATTTGTTAATCTTTCTAAGAAACAAGGTAATAAACTATGGCATCGTTCGCTTCGCAGATTCGAGTTTTCAATTCGAGCTGAGATGTAATATTTTTTTAGAGCTTTTAACTGTAGCATAAATAGTTAAATGTGATATTTTTTAAGAGTTTTTAATTATAAAAATTTAGAATTAAAAACTTAAATCGATGAAATAAATTAGACCTATAAATTTAAATTTTTAAGAACGCATGAGTGAATGTTAAATTAAGACAAAAGTATAGAGAACATTTTTGGAATAAACAAAAGTATACTCACGCGCGTTTGAGTTAAGCACCGAAGTGGTTATAAATAAATAAATAAATAAAAAGTGGTAAAAGCTGAGAGCATAAGACAAGGGGTTTCAGAGGTTTCAGATTTAGAATTTAAAGCGCATTCGAGGGTCTATATTTTAAGATTTTAATATTTCGGATATTTGTAGGATGTACTATTTTGGAGATTCTTTGTAGTATTCTAGAAAAGCAGTCACATTCAAGATTCAACATTAAAAAAAATAAAAAATAAAAAAAGCGCACACACACAATAGATTGGACTGTTTTTGGCTGAAGAGTGAAGACAACATACGATTACTAGGTTGCGTGTAAGTGGTTGGAACTTGGCATCTCCTTTGGGGCTCTGGTTGGTGACCGGTTAGGATTTGCAACCATCACATTAGAATATACGCACACGCGGTCTCGTTCACTTCACAGATTTAAGTTTTTAATTCGAGTTGAGATGTGATAATTTTTTAGAATTTTTTACTGTAATAGAAAATTTTAATGTGACATATTCTGAGAATTTTTTACTATAAAAACTTAAAATTAAAAATTTAAATCGATAAAATGAATGAGACCGTAGAATGTTGCTACATTCTATTCGGATTGAGGATTATGCACGTAATAATAGGTAGAAAGTAAAAAAAAATGTAACCTTGACAATCATTAAACGTAATATTTAACGTTAGATATAATATGACAATTATTTAAAGTTGACTATGTTAAACCTTTTTAACGTCAGTATATATATATATATTTATGTATGTATATAAGGCAAAATTATTAGTGTTACGCAACACCATTAATAAAAATACGACGGTTGACTCCATCTATTGACCTCATACTGTAAGAATCACTTTATATTCATATGTGGTGTCTGTTATTACTTGTGTCCTATAACATTAGTAAAAGAAAAATTAGTGTCTAGCACACTCTTCGGAATTTCTTTTTAGAGTAATGTTGTTAAGCACGCTCAACATTACTCACTAATATTAATAGAATGTGAGTCTCACAGTATGAGACCTACAGGTGGAGTCCACCTTCTATTAATAGTGATGCTTAGTGCTGATAGTGCTCTTAAATATTTTTTTTAATATACAAACTCTTAAAATAATAACGTGTTGATCTAGTTGCCATCGGAGCCACAAAAAGCTATCTAAATAAATTCTTTTTTGCCGATAAGCTCCGAACAATGACCTTTGCAGTTGTATTTTATATGGGGTAAGCATTGCTAGAAAAAGCTTAACAGTGGCACCATTACGTATGGAGCAACCCTATTTTCCAACCTTCTCCCTACCCTCAAAGGATTTTCCATGGTAGACATCGTAACCCATTGCCAAGACTTTGTTGGGTATCGCTAATATAGAAGAAAGAGCTTTTCATGATAGGGTTATTTTATAAGTAGTACGTATTTTTGAATGTTGAATATGAAAAACAAAACTTAGGGGGTGTTCGTTTGACAGATTTGGTTCAAATTAGCCCAATTTGAATCAGCTCATTAACTCAAGTCAGTGTTCATTACACCAACTACTCCATTCAGACTCGAATTATGATTCGAGTTGAGCGAATTCAATGGAGGCCTGAATTCCCATTAACTCGAATCTGCGTCTACAGTAACTTCGCTCTGCACAACTCGGCAAAAGCCTGTTTTGATTCCCTCGGGAAATTACCGTTGCTTTTCTCTTCTCTTCCCACCGAGAGCTGTCTGTCGTTTCCCATACTCACAGCTAAGGAAAATTGCAGATCGTGTCTTCTCGATCGTTGATTCCACCCCCGTGACTTCTCGGTCGTGGCTCTACTGGAAATTGCAGATCTTTCTTGTCTGTGGTGTGGGATTCCCTTGCTTTTTGCTCGTGTTTTCTTTCCTCTTTCCACCGTATGTCCTCTGTCGTTTCCCATCATCCACAGCCGTTTCCATCATCCACAGCTTACAGAAATTGCAGATAAATCTCTCCCCGGTGAGCTTTACCCCAGATCTCTCTCTCGTTTATGCATGTCGGTAGAACCTTTTCAACAGTCCTCTTCACTTCCCCCAAAACGGAGGAACTATATGGTAAACTCCACGATCGGAAACCTCCGTTGGCGGTTGTTCTGAGCAGTTGTCTTCGTAAGTGGCGACGTCCAACCAAAACTCGCCGTCATCGGTGGAGAATCTCAAGGTACCGCAGTCGGCGACAGAGAGATTGGGGTATTCCGAGCTCATCCATCCGTGGGTTCTTGGTTGAAGCGCACACACGTTCATCCACTGGGTCGAATTCGGTAAGTTCTCTCACATTTTCCTTTGAACTTGTTCTCTGTTGGTGCACTTGAGGATCGGTCTTCATGCTTTCTGGATGTCACAGTCATCTTTATATTCACAGTAGGCATTTCCACATGCAACTTTTATGCCCAATTCGAATGCTTCTGATTGCATACCACATGTTTGATAAAATGCCTCAACGGAACATTATATTGGAATTGCTTTTGTTTACTTCGGATTTTTGGAGTACTCTGCATTGCTATAGGCTGCTAGTATTCGGCTGGGATTAGGTCATGTATAGTTTGAATATAGATCTTTGGCTGCTGGTAGTAGACAATTGTGGCCTGAAAATTTGAAACAATAATCTGGATTCCAGGGAACCAACTCTGCGGCAGTTTCCTAGGCAATGGTCCCATGTGCTCTAGTCAAGCTAACTCATTTGATCTTTGGCTGCTGGTCATGTATAGTGTGTATGGTTTTGGGATTAGGCCATTTTACTTGCCACTTAATTCCAGCCACATATTTTACATCACATTGGCTGCCCGGCTGCATATGGTCAACTCTGCGGCTTGTTCCTAGGCAATGGTCCCATGTGCTCTAGTCAAGCTAACTCATTTGATCTTTGGCTGCTGGTCATGTATAGTGTGTATGGTTTTGGGATTAGGCCATTTTACTTGCCATATCAGTTTCCAGCCACATATTTGACAGCC